GCGCGGGTGTGGTGGGGGGGGGGGGGGGGGGGGTGGGGGGGAGGTAGGCTGGGATTTGGTGACATGGAGAAGCAGTTGCCAAGTTTCCTTTCCGGTCTTACTTTGAGATCATATGTCTGGGGTGTGTGTGTGTTGTGGGGAGGGGGGCACAAATCCCTTCCAGGCACAGATGCCCACCAGCCTGAACAGGAGAGTTGGCCTCCAGCCCCACACTGCACCCTTTGAGGCCCTTTCCCTGAAAACCACTCCCCTGTTCAGATATTCACTGGTCCAGCCTGCGGGAAGTTGGGAGGGGGATCCCCATGGCTCCATGGCTCTGGGTCCCCTTAGCCTGGTGCAGGAGGCGTAGGGTTTGGGGCTGAGGTTGTTGCTTCCGCATAGAGCCTCCTGAGTGAGGAAAGAAAGAGAAACTTGCAACTCGTGTGGTATTTGTTTAGTAAGCAATACCCTGAGTGGGTCCTGCCTGTGTCTTGTGTGTGAGTGTGCACCCACCTTCCTACTGGGAGTCTGTGTGGGCAGGGGACCAGGAAAGGCCTCTGCGTGGAAGGGCTGTGTCATTGTGGGCCCGGGATGTTAGCTCTGAGTTTGGGGAGGTGTTGAAGAGCCAATACCAAGTATGGGGCTTCAGGGTGGAGGGGGCAGGCCATGCTGAGTCCGAGGCTTGGTATCAATCTGGGCATTGCTGGATTCTTTCCTCCAGACAATTTCTTTGGGGTAGCCTGGGATCGAGGGATCTGTCCACCCATCACAACTGGCTTCAAGATACTGAGCTGTTCCTCTTTCCCTGGGATGAACCCAGGCTTGTTCTCTTATGGGTCAGCCTCCATCTCCTAAGCCTTCTGATCATTCCTCTTTGCTCCCCCCAACCCTAGTCCCTCTCTGGGTGTACCCAGGCACAGCCTAGTCTTCTGGTCTCAGTGTGTCAAAATTGGAAGGGACCCAGAAGATCCTACCTAACCCCTCACTGCACAGACAGGCCCACAGACAGCAACAGACTCTTCTGGGGTTAAACAGAATACCCATTGCTGGAAGAGCTGACACCAGAGCCCAGATGGCATCTGCCTGGGTTTCTTTCTCCAGCCCCCCACAGTCATCAGTAAAAACAGCCGCCTACGCTGTCCAAAGGCCTCGATGCATTCAGAGTGCTTTCACTTCCATTATTTCACTGTGCATTAGGCAGGCCAAGCAGTCTCCCATTTTACAGCTGAGGACATTGAGGTGCAGGAGGAGCTGGTGGCTTGCACTCCATCACAGAGCAGGCCAGAAGTGGGGGCTCCGAACCCTCCACTCTGCTGTGTGTTCAGGAGGCCATCCCATCCTGGGGCCGGGCTGGGATCTCCCCACAGCCTGCTGCCAGGCCTTTGCCCCTCCAGTCTGGAGGGCTGCGTGGATGGAGCATGAGTCAGAACTTGAGGGCCCCGGCCCGCGCTATCTGCCCGCAGGCTGCTTAAGGCAGTATTTCAGGGGACCATTCTTTAAGTGTGTGTGGCCATCTCTATTCCGATGGCCTCCTTTACTGTATGTTCCTACGGAATAATTCTCACCGGACAAGGTTTGTTGTTTTCCTTTTGGATCCATACACCTACCTTTTGTATTATTATTATGAAAAACTCCACTATCTACAAAAGTGGACAGAAAAATGTAACAGATTTCCATCCACCCATCACCCGCTTCCGCAGTTGTCAGCAGGGGTCCAATCTTGTTTCTTCTTTATCCTCACTCCTGTCTGCAGCTATGTTAATAATATAGTGAGTAATTAGTAAGTCCTAGATGTTATTTCATCCTTAAATATTTCTTTATGCACCTCTAAAAATGGCTTTTAAACAATAAACACAATACCTTTGGCAAACCTGAAAAGAAGTTCTTAAATATCACCAAGTTTCCCTGATGTTTTGTAAATGTGTGTGTCTGTGTGTTTCACAACCATCACACTTTTTGATCTGTCCTAATGGGCTACTTTGGGCAATGTAGTGTTCCTGTTGGAAGTGGACAGTGGCTCCTCACCTTTTCCTTGGATGCCTCCCCTTGGATCTGGGGCCCCATGCTGGGCTAGAGAGGACAGAGGACACACGCCAGTTTCGTGCCACCAGCCCCGAATCTCCCTTGTATCTTCTGGAAGTCGGTGGCCATTTCCTCTCACTACAGGCTTTTGGGCTCAGAGAACAGCCTCCTTTCTGTGCTCCTGCTTTGGTGGGCTGGCCTGTCCCTCCGTGGGTTCTAGTGACCCACCAGCCACCACCACATCACCCACAGCTTTCTTCCTTTTTGGAAAATTTTTCCACCCGAGGCCCACCCACAGCCCTACAGCCCTTTGCCATGGGCTGACTCACTCCGTCCCAGATCCTTCCTCTCCCACCCACCCTGAAACCCTCCTTTGGTGCAGACCAGCCATAGGTGCGCTCTCCCCTGTGCGTAGAAATGGGGTGTTTCTTGTGCGACTGTGTATGTGTGTTGTGAGTGTGTTGGTGAGTGTATAATAGTTGATGGTAGACACTCTAAGTAGAGGAAGAGAGAGGCCCATGTCTCTGTGGGTGTGTGGGTGTGTATTAATTGCTGGCAATCCCCACTTTTCTGGGTGTGATTGGTTGATTATTATAATTAAGATAACTTTGGGTATCTCTTTTGTTAAAGAGCTCAATTTGTATTTGTATTTGTGTATGTGAAGTTCGGGGTGGGTAAAACAACAATTTCAGTCCCACAAAGTCCTCGTTAGCCTCGAAGCCATGATTTTTTTTTCCTTTGTCCACTCTGAGAACTTTTTAGATCTTAAAAAAAATTTTTTTTCCAAGCTTAAGCCTGCTTTCTCTCAGGGCTGACTGGCTTCATTTCTCTTGGGGCAGGTGAAAACGGCTTTGATTTCTGTGTGACGATGGCTGTCTGATTTCTATTGAGTGGGTCTGAGGCTGGGAGGAGGAGGAGATCCCCTGATGCCTGGGCACATCTTGCATTTTGGGGGGTACAATGCGTTGCCAGAATACCCAGCTAAAAGGTGGTACCACTGTACACCCCACCAATCATCTATGGGAGGACCCATTTTTCCACAACTTCATCAGCAGTAGATGTTAATAATTTTTAAACATTTTGCCTACATGACTGACAAAAATGCTATCTCCTTGTTAGTTTATTTTATTTTATTTTATTATTTTAATTTTTTAATTTTTTTGGTGGCTGGCTTCTCTTTGTTATTTTAATTTGCACTTAATTATGGTGAAGCGGAGAACATGCCAGGTGCTCAGGATCTGGGAGGTTACGATGACCCTGCGAATCAGCTCAAGGCAGGTTGGTCCTTAGGGGCAGCAGAGGACTTTGGGGTCTTGGACCTTGTCCCCTGAGGGTGGGATGGAGAGTGGTTTTTTTTTGGGGGGGGCTCAGTTTGGTGCCAGACCCATCTCCACTCTTGTAGCAAAGTGTCATGTAAATCAGGGGCTATTTTGGGATACCAGCTGGTGGTGATTCTAGACTTTTTGGGTGAAGCTGAGAACTCCCTTCTCCTTTTCCGTTCCCCATCCTCTTCCTGTGTCTCCTCCGTGTCCCTCTATGAGTGAGAAAAGCAGGATGGAGGGACGGAGACCACAGCATGTGCTCTGCGGGTGGGAGATCCTGGCTCTGCTCTCCTACCAAGGGTCTGTCACCTAACCTCTCTGAGCCTCAGTTTCCTCAAGTGTAAAATTGGAAGTGACATCTTATATCTCAAAGGACTGGTTTGATGAACTGGCTGGTGTGTAAGTAGAGGCCGGATGTGTTCCTTGCCATTCCTTTATTCCTACGAGTTTGGCTAGGTACCGGTTACAATAGAGGAAACATTTGGGTGGCCTGACTACCGTTGTAGAGAGAGCTGATAGAAATGGGTTGAAAATATTCTCCCACCCTCAGTCGTTCAAGGCCTGATCCCTAACCGGAGATTTCTCAAGTCGGCTGGCCTGCCGAGTCCCTGGGACCCAGGGACTGGAGCCAGAGCCCTGACCTGTTCAGGTTCCTTCAGCCAGAGGGCTTTGACAGCTCTGGGCCTGGGAGAAGATAGGATGGAGGTGGGATGGGAGGGAAGATGAGCTGAACTTCACATTTTTGATTTACTAAACAGCTTTCAGAGGAAAGATGGACAGGAGTTATTCTCTCCATTTACAGGTGAAGAAACAGGTTTGGTTTGGGAATTAACTTATCCAAGGTCATGGGCCCAGTAAATCTCTCTCTCTCTCTCTCTCTCTCTCTTTTAATGATGACTGGTAAGGGGATCTTAACCCTTGACTTGGTGCTGTCAGCACCACGCTCTCCCAAGTGAGCCACGGGCCGGCCCCTGGTCTCTCTTTTTTTTGATGGCTGGCAGTTAAGGGGATCCAAACCCTTGACCTTGGTGTTATAACACCACACTTTAAACAACTGAGCTAACTAGCCAGCCCAGTAAGTCTCTAGTTCTCAGCTCAGGAGAGTCTGGGGAAGACAGGAATGTGACAACACCCTTCCAGGAGACCTTCCCAAGGTTGTTAGGAGTGTGGTTCTTGGGACTTCTGGGGACTAGGCCCCACCCAAAAGTGTTCTTAGGCCCCTGGAACTCTCCCTCCCTCAAGTTTCCTGACTCACGGTCCACTGCCTTTCTTCAGGGCTTCTCATGGGAGGAAGGGAGAAATGTGTGGAAACAAGTAATTCTGATGAGAGTTTCATCCTGCCGTTCTGACGCTCTGCTCTTCCTTCTCAGCTTAGAAGAGAACGGCTAAGCCATTGGAGCTGGTGATGGCACTGGTGCTGGTGGAGGTGGTGGTTGCAGTGATGGGGGGATAGGCTGGTGATGGTGGAGACAGTGGTTAGAGTGCTGGTGGTAATGGTGGAGGGGTAATTGTAGTGAATGATGATGGTGGAGGTGATGGTTGTAGTGATGGCAGTGTGATGGCAGAGGTGGTGGTTGCCATGATGGTGGTGATGGTGGAGGTGGTGGTTGCCATGATGGTGGTGATGGTGGAGGTGGTGGTTGCCATGATGGTGGTGATGGTGATAGTGATAATGGAAGTGGTAGTTGTAGTGGTGGCGATTGTCATGGTGGTGGTGGTGATAGTGGAGGTGGTGGTTGTAGTGATGGTGGTGGTGATGGTGGAGGTGGTGGTTGCCATGATGGTGGTGATGGTGATAGTGATAATGGAAGTGGTAGTTGTAGTGGTGGGGATAGTGGAGATGGTGGTAGTAGCAATGGTGCTGCCAGTGGTGATAGGGCTGGTGATGGTAATAGTGGAGGCGGTGGTTGTAGTGATGGTAGTGATGGTGGTAATAGTGGAGGTGGTGGCTGTAGCAATGGTGCTGCCGGTGGTGATAGTGCTGGTGATGGTGGAGGTGGTGGTTGTAATAGCAATGATGGGGGTAGTGATGGTGCGAGTGGTGGAGATGGTCGTGGTAGGAGAGGGCTTCTTTTTCTGAACCTATTACTCTGGCACAATGGGGGATAATGGGACATCCGTACGGTACAGCAGCGTTACACCCCCTAGCTTCCTCTACTTCCTGGGTACCAGGACTTTGAGCGTGAGGACTGTGTTCAGTAGAGCCTTCTTTAAGGTGGATGGGAGTTCCTTGTCCACCTAGGATGTTAGCTACTTCTCTGAAGGCTCAGGCCTGGGGCAGGCCATACTACAGATGTCAGGCACAGGATGATGGTGCGGGGAGGGCCTGTGGGTGGGTGCCTTGGGGATAGGAGTGTGTTAGCACTGTGACAGCCACAGTGGAGAGGATGGAGGGGGACTGAGACCAAACCAGGGCTCTGGGGACTGAGGCCTGAGGACCTACTAGGAATTGTCTGTGGAGGGCTGGCTTGTGCCTTTGCCCCTCCTAGGGAGCAAACTAAGGTCAGAGACCGTGGTTTGCAGGTAAGTGTCTGCAACTGACTCTCCGAAAGAAAAACACTTAAAAACCCTGACTGTAGTGTTTGCTGATTCCTGTGGTGTAAATACTCCCACCGTGGCAGCTTTCCAACTACCAACATGACTCCACCGAACACGGGGTTAGAGGGGATGCACAGGTCACCATTCTAGCATCTCCACGTTAGATGCAATAGGCATTAAAAAAAAAAAAACCTCGAGAGCGTAGAAAATGGTAAAATGTAGTCAAATAATTGGGGAGCGCTTATTTTTGAGTATTTATGACCTTAGTTCGTAATGTAACATACTTGATCGTGAGTTTATATAATTTAACTCGTCATTGTGGCTGCGTTTCGCAGCTGGCTGGCAGCCTCCCTGAGCATTCCGCAGTCGCTCTCGTGCGCGGGGTATGGAGCAGCTCCGTCGGCCACGGACGCCTGTGCGCGCGGGCTCATGGCGGCCGGGGCTCTCTGTTCTCCCCAGGAGGATGTTCCCGTTCCTGTCCTTTACCGTGGCCGGGCTGGAGCCCACCAGCCACTACAGGATGTTTGTGGACGTGGTCTTGGTGGACCAGCACCACTGGCGGTATCAGAGCGGCAAGTGGGTGCAGTGTGGCAAGGCGGAGGTCAACATGCCAGGTACGTGCGCTGCCAGCGGCCGGCCCTCCTGTTCCCCACGAAGGCGCCCCCTAGTGGGTCCCCCGGGCCCCTACCCCCATCCCGTCCCGCCTGTCCCTGCGTTTTGTTCATCGTCTCTTGTCCACTTTGCGCTAGCCTGTCCTCTGCTCAGTCCTCTGCCCGCCCCCCCCGTCCCTGCCCTGCCCCGTCTGGTCCTCCCCCTGCATCCTTCTTCACGTCCCCCTCAGAACAGGCAAAGCCCCACATCCCCAGGGGTCTGTCCCAGGAGCTGCATGCCAAAGAGGTTAACTGTCTGCAGGAAACCGCCTGTACGTCCACCCAGATTCCCCCAACACTGGAGCCCACTGGATGCGCCAGGAAGTTTCGTTTGGGAAACTAAAGCTCACAAACAACAAGGGGGCCTCCAACAATGTGACCCAGGTAGGACCTCCCCCCCATGAGGTAGCCCTGCGCCCTGAGTCTGAGACCCTCCCAAGGCCACAGGAGGTCCTGCAGGGCCGATTCTGTTCTGAGTCACTTTCCTTCCTCTCTCAACTTTGATTCTTTCCCTCCCACCTTGGGAGGAAGAGGAGCATGAGGTAGCCCTGCGCCCTGAGTCTGAGACCCTCCCAAGGCCACAGGAGGTCCTGCAGGGCCGATTCTGTTCTGTCAGAGTCACTTTCCTTCCTCTCTCAACTTTGATTCTTTCCCTCCCACCTTGGGAGGAAGAGGAGATGGGAGGAAGTAGAATCTCAGACAGGGGTCACATTCAGGCCGACAGGGACCGAGCTAACCCGGGGACTTCTTCACTGAATCCCAGGCTGCTGTAACTTGTGCACCATGACAGGCATGCAGTTGGTCCCTGTGACCCTAGGGATGGATGCAGAGTTTCTCCAGGTTAAGCAATTCTGCTGAAAATTCACTTGTCCCTAAAAAGCCCTGTTTTGGCTTAGACCTTGGGCACAATGGACATCTGGGAGTAGGAAAGGGGGTGAGAGGCTAAAATTGGTGCCCCAAAGAGGCTGGGTACTGGAGGAGGAAGACCGGGGAGATGTCACATGGTGGCAGGGCAGTGGAATGGACAGGATGACCTCGGGTCCTTTCTGGCCTCACCATAGGGCCAGCTGTTGGTGGGGGTGGGGAAACCCTTAGAACTCCCTCCGCCCCATCCCCACGACCGTCTCACTGCAGATGATTGTGCTCCAGTCCCTCCATAAGTACCAGCCCCGGCTGCACATTGTCGAGGTGAATGATGGGGAACCAGAGGGGGCCTGCAGTGCTTCCAACACGCACATCTTTACCTTCCAAGAAACCCAGTTTATTGCCGTGACTGCCTACCAGAATGCTGAGGTGAGGGCTGCCCAGGCCACGCAGGGAGGAGGGCCAGAGCGGGGCCCACGGTCTTCCTTGGGAGGCATTTTGGAAGTTCCTGAGCTCCAGACTCAAGACTCAGGTGACTCTATTTCCCCTCTCTCTAGATTACTCAGCTGAAAATTGACAATAACCCCTTTGCCAAAGGATTCCGGGAGAACTTTGAGTCGTAAGTGCCAGTGGGTTCCACTCACCTTTGGTCTGTCCTGACACTGGGGACTCCAGATCTGTGCTCAGGACGTCGTCTCCCTGGAGAGGGTGGGAGGGTGCTGGAGGGTGGGAGATGAGCAGAGGGTCAGAAAAGGGTCAGACATTCAACAGGTGGGCTCACAGGTGACCAGTTCTGCTTGTGACCCCTGTTTTCTTGCCTCCTATTTTTTTTAGCATGTATGCATCTGTTGACACCAGTGTCCCCTCCCCACCTGGACCCAACTGTCAGTTGCTTGGGGGAGACCACTACTCTCCTCTCCTCCCCAACCAGTATCCTGTTCCCAGCCGTTTCTACCCCGACCTTCCTAGCCAGGCCAAGGATGTGGTTCCCCAGCCTTACTGGCTGGGGGCTCCCCGCGACCACAGCTTTGAGGCCGAATTCCGAGCAGTCGGCATGAAGCCTGCATTCCTTCCCTCTGCTCCTGGGCCCAGCATGTCCTACTACCGAGGCCAGGAGGTCCTGACACATGGAGCTGGCTGGCCTGTGGCCCCCCAGTACCCTCCCAAGTTGGGCCCAGCCAGCTGGTTCCGCCCCATGCGGACTCTGTCCATGGAACCTGGATCCTCAGAGGGAAGGGGGCCAGAGGATCAGGGCTCCCCCTTGGTGTGGACTGAGATCACCCCTATCCGGCCAGAGTCTGGCGACTCAGGACTGGGGGAAGGAGACTCTAAGAGGAGACGTGTGTCCCCCTATCCTTCCAGTGGTGACAGCTCCTCCCCTGCCGGGGCCCCGTCTCCTTTTGATAAAGAAGCTGAAGGCCAGTTTTATAATTATTTTCCCAACTGAGCAGACTGCGTGGTAAAAGGAACAGAAACAGTGCTGTTCAGTTGGAGGACACCAAGTAACTCAGAAGATGGGACTGAGAAGAACCCAGCTCCCTCTGTCCCTTCTCCATATAGTAGCTGGTTGGGGAAGTAGGGACCAAGAAGGATTCTGGGGTCTACTTGCTGCTTCCTGGCCCATGGTGAAACGTAAGGAGTGTCCCCTACCCCTTCATCTGCCCCAACTACAGTTATTTACCTGGTGCTGCTTCTGGCTGTTGGTTCCCAACCTGAGAACAGAAAACAGACACAAGAAGGTCTTGGACACAAAGGAGTTTCTTCGCTTCTGGAGAGGCGGGTGGGGTCAGGTGGGGAGGGTCAGAAACAGAGACTCGGCTCTCTTCCTTTCAACATTTTTGTTTGCGTGTGTGTTAATTCCTGATCTGAAAATTAATATACATGGATTTTATACCAGTCAGCCAGCCAGTGTCAGGGAGAGGACTCAGGTGACTTTGAGCAGCCGACACAGTGGGGTCCCAGCCTCAGCAGTAGGCTGGAAAGGGGGAGACAGTGCACATCTCCAGAAGCAAGGTCTTGTTTCTGGTGGCCCTGTGTGCACGTGCTTTCTTCTTTTTTTGAATGGGTCAAGCTATTTATTGTACAGAGAGTGGTGCCTGGATGTATTTCTTTTGTTTTCATCACTTTCTGAAAATAAACGTGAAACTGTTGAGCGTGTCCTGTGTCAGTGCCAGTGCGGGAGGTGTGGGTGGGGACTGGGGTGGCTGTTGTACCAGAGCTGTTCTGTTGGCTCTTATCTCTGGGGTTCCTGCTAGAGACTTGAAGTGGCTTCATTTAGGGGATAAACTGAGTTGGAGCAAGGCCACATGTCCTACCCTCAGCATTCAGGTTGATGGTTGGTGCCACCTCTTCAGGCATCTTGAGACAAAGAAGCATCCCTCAGCCTGTGCTGTGACTTGGAGAAGAAAGTGCGAAGGTGACCAGAGGGCCAAGCTGGATGGGGTGTGCGGGGCTCTGTGCTGAGGGATGGCACCTGATTTCTCTTTGCATTTTTAGCAGCTCTCCATCTTCATCTCTAGGGTTGTTCAAGGATTAAGGGAGTAAATATAAATTGAACCTTGTGAAATTGCTATTTTTGTAGGCCAAGAACAGCCAGAAACAAGCAGTTTCATATGATTGAACCTAATACATGCAAAGGGCTTAAGAACAGTGCCTGACAAACAGTAAGCACTCAATCTGTAAGCTATTGTTGTTGTGGTTATCATTTTCTAGATCTGTTCCTATCTCTCTGTCTCTTTTTATGGACACTGAATTATGCTCATGAAATGATACATGCTTTTTTTTTTTTTTTAAAACTAGCAATACGTGCTTTTTTTTAAAAAAGGAATTCAAGCAATGATGAAAAGTCTAAAGACAGCAATAAATTATCCCAAATCTCACCACGCATCAAGAATTATCATCAACCAGATTTTGATTGGAGTTGGACTAAATCTACAGATCAATTTGGGAAAAGAGATATCTGATATTGTCCTTCTATGCATACACATGGGATATTCATTTATTTAGGTCATCCTTAAGGTTCTTCAGTAAGGTTTTACAGTTTATAGGTATAGATGTTGTATCTGTATATCATGTGTTAGGTTTATTCTTATGTATTTCTTTTTTCTCTATAAAAGTATCTTTAAAAAATTTATGTTTCCTAATTGTTTTTTATGGGTATATAGAATTATAGTTGATTTCTGCATATTAATCATGAGATCCAAACTCATAATACTTAGAGTTTTATAAATATTTGGAGTTTTTATAAATACTTAGAGTTTTCTCTGTGTCCAATTATATTATTTCAAATGATGAGAGTTTTATTTCCTCTTTTCTAATCATTATGCTTCTATTTCTTTTTCTTATCTTATTGCACTGGCCAGAACTTCAAGTGTTGGTTTCTTGTATTTTGGGGGATGATTTCCCCCTATTTATCCCATCTTTTCCCTTCCTTATTCTACTTTGACATTTCTGTAATTTAGTTCTTTTAGTAGTTACTCTATACATTTTATTATGTACCTTTAACCTAACAAAGTCTTAATGATGAATGATATTTCCCCCTTCTTTCTGATTAACAAAACAATTTTAGATCACTTTAGTTGTGATCTTTCCCTCCTGACTTACTGTTGTTTTTTCTCCCAACTTACTCATTTTGAACATTTCAGTTCTGTCTTTTTTATTTTTTTCAACTCCCACAAATTAAATTTCTTTATTGCTTTATGAAGACAACATGTGTTTGGACTTACCTTTATATTACCATTCTTTTTGTTCACTTTTCCTTTTTGAATTTCCTTTTTCTGGGATAATTTTCCTACTCCTTGAACTAAATCCCTTATAAGTTCTTTTAGAAAAGCTCTCCTTGTAAACTCCTCTTGTGCTTGTTTCTTACATGTAATTATTTCCCCCCCAGTATTGAATGATAGTTTTGCTGAATACACAATTTTAGGTGGACAGTATTTTTTTTTTTTTTTTTTTTTTTTTTTTTTATCATTCTACATGTGATTCCACTGTCCTGTGGCTTCCATTGTTATGAGACTGGCTGCTACTCGAGTTATCATTCTTTTGTAGGTTCATCTGTCTTTTCTCTCTGCTTTCCAGATCTTTTTATATTTGATGTCCTACAGGTTCTTTATGATGTGACAAGGCATTAAATTATTTTTCTTCATCATCTTTGGGATATGTTGTGCTTCATGGATCTGTGCATTCATAGTTTTCATAAGTTCTCAAAATTCTCAAGTCATTATTTCTTTAAGTATTGCTTCTTTCCATTCTCTCCAATTTCACCCTTTGGGACTCCAATCAAATGAATATCAGACGTTCTCGTTTTATTATTATTTATGTCTCACAACTCTCTATGGCGCTTTTTCTCCTTGTCTTTCTTTGCTGCATTCTGGGTAAATTATTCAGATATTTCTTTTAGTTTAACCTTACTTTCAACTGTTTCTAATATGCTGATTAGCTTATCCATTGAGTTTCTTTTTCACAGATTACAAAGCACTTTTCTTTTCTTCTTTTTGCAGCTGGTTGGTACGGGATCTGAGCCCTTGACCTTGGTGTTATCAACACCATACTCTAATCAACTGAGCTAACTAGCCAGCCCCACAAAGCACTTTTCATAAGTATTTTATGTATCTATTAAGTTTTTATTTCGGTGTTGTTTTACATTTTTATACTTTATATTTTTTCCAATTTGTACAATTCTGATGATTTCCTGCTGTATGTTTATCCTTATAATTGTATTACTTGTGTTTATAAACATTCTACACACAGCCATTCTGTATTTTGTATCTGAAATTTCCAACATCTGCTGTCCTTGTAAAGGATGGTGGTAGGGGTGTTGTCTAAATCTGCTGTTTCTTCTGATTCTCAGTCATAGTGAGTTTGCCTTCTTGCATGCTTGATGATCTTTGCTTGTAAGATCAGGTTTGATTTTTAATGCATGGAAGTCCTCTGAGACTAACTCGGCCAAACTTTCCTCCAGAGAAGTTGCCTCTGATTCAACAGATGTGGAACATCACGTTGTGGCTGGACTCTTCTTTCCAGCAGTGTAGTGGGATTTCTTGGCTCAGGACTCCAAAAGAGTGAGACACAAGCTTCCAGGCCTCTAAAGAGTAGGCCTTGAACCAGGAAGGCATCACTCCCACTGCAATCTATTGGTCAAGGCCAGCCTATGTACAAAGGAGGGGAAATAGCTTCCCTTGGGATGGGAGGAATGGTATGTGCTGCCCAGGCATTGTCCTGGGATCTTTTCTTCACCACTAGCCTGGTGATTCCCTGTTTCCTGGGTCACATGTCTTATTTCTTTGTTTATTCCCTTGTTTTGCTAAGGGATGTCTTTAAGGAACTTCTGATGCACAAGCAGTAACACTTCTGAGTATTTAACTTGTCTATGTTTTATTCACACATCTGAGTGGTAGATTGACTGGGCATAAAAGTCTAGTTTGGAAATTAATTTTCTCTTAGAATTTTTAAGGCGTTTCTCCATTGTCTTTTGTTTTCAGCATTGCTCTTAAACAGTCTGGTGCCATTTTGATTCGTAATCCTTCATATTAGGTTTTTGGATCCTCTCTTTGTCTCCAGTGTTCTGAACATTTTAGATTATATGCTTTGGTGTGAAGCCTTTTTTCGTTTACTATTCTGGGGCACTCAATGAGACCTATCAATCCAGAGATTCTGTCCTTCATTCTTAGAAAGTTTCTTTTCCTTTTATCCATTCTTTTTATCCCCTCAACTTCTTTAATCGTTGGGTAGATAGCCTAGAGTTGGTTCTCTAATTTTATTTCTTAATTTTAATCCTTTTTCTTCTTCTTCTTATTTTTTAGAGAGTTTCTAGTCTTTCTCTTTTGATTCCTTTATTGACTTCCAAATTTGTTTTTCATTTCTGGGAGCTTTCTTGTTCTCAAAATGTTTTTAGAACACCTTGCACTTGCTTTATAGACAGAAATATCTTCTGTAAATATATTAATTAGAAGGGGAGCTTTCCTTTTGCTCCTTGAAGTATCTTTTTCTTCTCAAAGTTTCTTTTTTTCATGTTTATTTTTGACTCTCTCTTTCATATTGGAGGCTTTCCTCAAATATTTGGTGATCCTTGGCTGTTTGTTTATGTTTAAGAACAAGGTGCTA